TGCGGGAAGACTGGTTTCGTCAGAGTCCGACGGCCGCAGTCAGTCGTGTCCTTGAATCAGGGAGAGGGCACCGCATCCAGTGCGGCCGGGGGCCCGGGCGTCGCCAGGAGCGCGGACGGTGCCGCCACGGCGCGAGGAGGGGCGGCACGTGGGGGGGGGGGCGTGGGAAGGACAGAGCACGTGGACGTTTCCGCGCTTGCTTCAGCTTCCCAAGAAGAGAGAAGCAAGGTCATGGGCTGAGCGCGATGGTGAAGCCTTGAGGCACGTGGGGGAACGTGAGGTACGTTCAAAATACTGGCTGTACGTTTCTTTTCTTAAATTTTTTTTATGCTTATTTTTGAGAGACAGAGACAGCGTGAGCAGGGGAGGGGCAGAGAGAGAGGGAGACGCAGAATCTGAAGCAGCTCCAGGCTCTGAGCTATCGGCACAGAGCCCGATGGGGAGCCCGAACCCACAGACTGTGAGCTCCTGATCTGAGCCAAAGTCAAATGCTTAACCGACTGTGCCCCCCAAGCGCCCCAAGATACCGGTCGTACATTTAAAGAAAGGTCAGGCAGTTAGTCGGTCGGCTGAACAGGCGTGAGTGCTGAGCCGGCGAAGAGCGGGTGACAGCCAGGGCTGGGGTCTGGCCAGGCAGAGAGAGGGACAGGGCACGGAGTCCAGCGGTGGCCAGGAATTTCAGCCGTGAGGCAGCACGGGTCTGCCGGGCGTGCGGGAGAAGAGGGGGTGAGAAGCGATGAAGACGGACAGACCGACGAAGAGCGGCGGGAACCGGCTGACAGGCGGCTGACTGCGCGACTGCACAGGCACCGGCCCCCGCTCGGGACCGGCTGCGCTGGGGTCCCCGGCAGCCAGTAGCCGAGGAGGACGGCCCAGAGGGAGGCCTGTGGCTGGCCAGGCAGGCTGCGAGGGTCATCCACACGGGCACTGAAGTCACCAGCTGCGACAGGCGGCGGGGCAGAGAGAATGATCACGAATGAGGAGCCAACGCCCTCAAGGACGGCGGAGGGGCTGTGTGGGAGAAGAGTGAAGGGAAAAGGGAGAAGCGATATCACAATCTAATGACAAGAGGTTCAAAGTGTCCAAAAGCAGCAGAAGAGAACGAGAGGAGTGAGGGGAGGGACGAGGGGAAAGACAGAGCTGCCACCTGACCGGGACTGAGCAGCAGTCTGTGCTGGGGGGGCTGCGCTTCTCTAGCGAGGGGGGAAGACTGAGGGCCTACTGGCCGTGCTGCTGTGACCCAGCAGGGTTTGCTTCCACACAGTTCCACGCGGTTCCACACAGCTGCACGCAGTATGCACAGAATTTCAGGAACTAGGGGACAGTGGGAGATCAGGCCAGGGTGGGATGCAGCAGCTGTGGGCGACAGTCTTGGTGCAGGGGTCCTGGGGTGGCTGGGCTCCTGATGCTGGCTACCGGAAGGCAAAGGGCAGGATGCGGCCACGTCCCTCATGGTCTCAGGCAGCAGCCAAGTAAGGCTGTGTGCCGGGACGCGGGGAGCAGGGGCCCCGCGGGGCAGTGCTGGCTTCTGGGGTTGTCAGAACCGGACAGCTAGAGATGTGGGGCGCACTCCACTCTGGGGGCACACACAGCCCTCCCCCCGCCTGCCCCGGGGGCACACACAGCTCCTACCATCTATTCCTTTTTTCAAGTATTTCAAGGTTGGATAAGGTCTTGTGATTCTGACCCCGTTTTTCCCTTCTTCAGCCAATTACTCTATGATCTTGAGGCTCAGAATCTAAATGTATCTGCTCAAGGTCTGGTTCTGAGAAGAAGATGCAGAGTAAACAGAAAAGGGAGGAGAAAGCTGAGCCGATGGCTAACAAAATGGCTTCTTTGGGATGCTGATATTCTAATAGTGTACAGGTTCGCTTTATCTTAGTAACATATTTTCTGAAGTAATAATAGTATTAGCAAGAACAGAACCTCTAGCCCCAGCAAGGGACAAACAAGAAGAAGGGGGAAGTCACAGGCAGGCATTCCATCAAAAGGCTAGAGTGATATTTTAAAAACCAAGCATGAAAATTCAATTCCAATAATATATTAACTACCACAACAAGTTATATACCTTCCAGAAAAAACAAGTGTTATGTTTCTTCAGATGGCTGTGAAGCTGGGCTCCGAGCAAACCAAGCAGATATCCTGAAGATTCCTGTGAAGCGCATCACACGTTCCCAAGCAGACCAAGAAAGCACACTCAATAGCCACTAGCAAAACTCAGCTGTGAATTCTGGGGTAAATCACTGCTGTACATTTTTTAAAAATCTTTTACTCTTTCTTATTAGTCTGCAATTTTTTTCAATAGCCCAGGAAAAAAAAAAACACTTTAGGTGCCTGGGTAGTTCAGTTGGTTGAACATCTGACTCTTGTTTTCAGCTCAGGTCACGATCCCAAGGTCATGAGATTGAGCCCTGCGTCAGGCTCCGCACGGAGCATGGAGTCTGCTCAAGGTGTGTTCTCTCTCTCTCTCTCTCTCTCTCTTTCTCCCTCCCCCGCCTCCCCACCCCTTTACCCCTCTTGCCCAAGCTTGCTCTCTTATTCTCTCAAATAAAAATTTTAATTCACCTTTTATTTTATTTTTTTTTAATTTTTTTAAATGTTTTTTATTTATTTCTAGGAGAGAGAGAGAGACAGCGTGAGCAGGGGAGGGTCAGAGAGAGAGGGAGTCACAGACTGAAACAGGCTCCAGGCTCTGAGCTGGCAGTCAGCACAGAGCCTGACGCAGGGCTCGAACCCACGAACCGTGAGACCGTGACCTAAGCTAAAGTCGGATGCTTAACCGACTAAGCCACCCAGCACCTCTAATTCACCTTTTAAAAATAATTTAAAATATAAAATTTTGTTACAAGAAAATACATTTGACATAATACTAGATTAAAGAAAACCTATGGGGAGGTTTTCCACTACTCCCCTTCTATGGTCTATACTTCCTTAAAAAATAGCAAATCATAAAATACTGTTTATCTTGTTTTTTCCACTCCGCATATACTGAAGCTCATGATCCTGATCTCTAAGCATCAATATGCCCATCTGGCTACAGAACCATTTATGTAGCAAACCTGTCGTTTCCCATCCGAAACAGTCTACGCTGCTAATGAACAGCAAATGACAGAAGGACAGCGACTACCCCAAAGTATCATTAACGAGTGTCAAGCTCCCGGAAAGACTACCAGCCTACAACAGAGCGCTCAGGAACGGCACGTGGCCTACCAATGGCAGAGGCAAAATCATCCTCATGACACGCGGGCCTCTGCAAAGGAGGCCTCCGTGCCAGTCTGGGCGCCTCGTCTGCTTGGGCCGGGCTTCCTTTTGTGACACATCTAGCCACCTGGCAGCGACTTCGGTTTCCTTGTCTTTAGATACAATGAACCCCTTTGCAATTTGAGGAGCCAAAGGATCTAGAAAGATATGGAGGGACTTTCTCTTCCCTCTGTGGGAACGAAAAGTGGGAAAAGGCTGTATTTTTGATTTGGGTCTGTTTTGACTCAACCCAAATTCTTAAATCCGTGGGCCACTCTCCCAGCCCTGCTGCGGGTCTCGGCCTCCTGGTCCGCAGGATGGAGGCCCGTCGGCCGTAGGCACACGGCGCACACGATAGGCAGCGGCTCGCAGTTCAGCACTTTCACTGTGTAACAGCGTCGTGACCCAAATAAGACGAATTTATTATAATGGTTACTACCTTAGCAAAATTTTATAAAGCTGACAGTGTTGGGTAAAGTTGTAATTCTGAAATTAAATAGGCTTAAATGTTAAAATAGCTTTCTTAAAGTTAGAAGAATAAAAGACACAAGTAGTACCAGCCTGAAAGTTATTGCTACCAAAGGATACAATACTATTGACAAGAATTCTCTAAAATAGGTAAAATCTGAAATTCTTTCACCTAAGAATAAAGCTCTAAATGTTAGCAACACTTTTAATTGATGGTCTCAATTCACTATTTGTAACTGAAGAAAGTAGGTATATTTTTTCCTATTTCATACTTAAAAGTAACCTTCCATTTTATACTTCCTCTTCAGTGATGATCCTGAAATACAGTTAGCTACTAATAATCTGATGCTGGGGTTGGTGTTCAACATTAAAGGAAAAACCAACAACTTTGTGGTAGAAGAGAGTTCAGAGTGAAAATCATTTAAGTAAAATTAAAAGAAAATGTATCTGAATGATGTCAATTCTCCATTAAACTATCTCATTACTCTTTTCTTCATTGGGTCTTCATTTGAAGCCAAAAAGCAGGAGTAAGTAAACATCAGACTTTAAGCTCTCTGACATGCTTCCTGGGTTACCATAGCTGGTAACGAACAGCGTTCCCAAATAACACAGAGCTCCTAAACATCACTGAGACGGTCGAATGTGGCACCTCAGAGCAGAAAGACACACTACTTTTCAGCTTAAAGATTTCAACAGGAAGGAAATGAAGTAAGGATATTAAAGTCACTCAGAAGGGGCACCTGGGTGGCTCAGCCAGTTGAGCATCCAACTCTTGATTTCAGCTCAGGTCACGTTCTTATGGTTTGTGAAATCGAGCCCCAAGTTGGTTCCGCACTGACAGCCTGCAGCCTGCTTGGGATTCTCTCTCTCCCTCTCTCTCTCTCTGTCCCTCCCCCACTCACACAAACTCTCTCAAAATAAATAAATATTAAGAAAATTAATAATAAAGTCATTAAGAAAACAGACAAATCTGCAAAACCTCAGTAACTGTAAGTCATAATGCTTAAAATATATTAGGGTCTTGACAGCAGAGGTGTATGTCAGTAGCCAGTGTCTCGGACCTGAACTGGCCTTGCGAGGTGACGGCGCACTTCAGCTAGGGAACCGTGGGAACTTGGCCATGGGGCTCAGCCAAACTGTCCTCACCTGGGACGTTCACACGTTACTCTTAGGTCTTGACCTACTGCAACAGCACAGCGGACTAAGAGGCTTCTATGTTTCCCCCTCAACTGGTGTGTTTCTTAAATTAAATAATACTTCCATTCGGCTCTAAATACATAATACATACGTACCATTTAGTCGTCTCTGGAGTGCTTCCTCCTCCAGGGTGATAATATAAATTTGTTCATCCAGGTCTTCAAGAATCTAGATCCAAAGATCAAACCAGTGACCAATGTGTTATTACAAAACTAGTGCCTATGAGAATGTTTAGGCTATTTAGCCTAGGATTTAGACAACCATTCAAAAATATTAGGAACTTAAAATATAAATGCTCAAACTATGCTATATACAAATTAAGGAAAAATATTTTAGTATGGAACTAAATACATCAAAGTTGACTACTCTAAGGTCTACATATATTTAAAGGATTAAAGAACACTGCACCTCTCTCAATTACAAATAAATATATGAATTCCAACCATCCAAAAGGCTACTAAATACAGCACTACCTCTTATGTCCAAACCAATTATTTTAGAGCAAGAGGAATAGATCACTCCATGCAATATTGGTCTCTCGTTTATGTTTACCTACATAACATTTAAAACAAGAAATCTATAAACTCAATCACTACCGTGCAATACTTTCCATTTACATCATCTTTACGTACTAAACATTTCCTGCAAATACTGAATACTGGCACTATCAAAATCATCCTGTGGACAGACCTCTAGGAAATATGACGCCTATATATACACCGCTCACCACACGCCACACAACACGAATAAAAAACAAGAACAAACCAATGACCAATCACCAGTTATACAGGGTATTAGTTGCACTATCTTCACAACTGACAAAACCAAAAATAGGTTTAACTCTAGCTTTGTGAACACAGCATACAGTTCCTGTCAGGTATCGAATCTGCAGAACTTCTATCAAATTTATTTAGAGCAATCCAACAATTCTCAGTATTTCAACAAACACTGATAATCCCTTATTATCAACAGGCCTAGCACTGACAGCAAAATAAAACAGTAAAATAACAATAAATAATGATACACAAATAAACAATTACAAAAGCTGGCGATCCTAGAAGAAAAGGGTAGGGAGACCCACTTCGGCAGGCCACCGGCGAGGCCCCGCAGGACACGAGCCCTGAGTCCTGAGTAGGGCAGCAGAGCAGACAGCAGACTAGGCTACTTCAAGCAGGCTCTGCGCCTGAGGCAGGCAGGAGCCTCACTGTGCTGGGCCCCGGCACCCAGTTTCTTACCTATCGACGTTCTTACCGCTTCCTACTGCTGCGATCACAATCCACAGTTTCCCCCACTCTTCGGGTCTGGCCCACACAAAAAGATTTCCTCCTATGGTGCGAAGTGTCCATTAGTGACCTACCACCACTCGGTGTGAGTGAGGGACAGGGGGTGGCACACAGGCATTTGTGGTAAGTGCTTGTGTGCATCATGCCCTTGATTCTACAGCAATCCAGGAAAGACAGAATGCTACTGTCCCCATCTTATGCCAAAAAACAAGGGTCTGGCGAAGAAGAGTTATCTGCCTTTGAAGCCTACGCTCTTAACCATTCTGTGTTCCTAGGGACTCAAGTACGAGTCAAACACAGTCCTTGGCCTCCAACGGCTTATATTCTAGGGTCCTAGACAGACAGGATGAACCCCAAAATAACTGTAGGATTAAAAAAGCAGTCATAACTGACACTAAAATAAACAATGTTACAAAAGTTCAGAGGAAGAAAGATTCCCGACTTCTATGTGGGAAGAAAGAAAGTTTTGGATTGTGTTTTTGAGGATAGTGGCCTCTTAGCTGATAGCTTAATTTACTGCAAAGGGGAAAGGCGTTTGAATCAGAGGAAACTATAAGCAAAACAGGGAGGTGAAGAGGTAGAAAATACACTCACAATAAAGTAGCTTGAGTCCTCTGGAGCTTACGGCCAAACAGAACAGTGGTCCAGGGTCTGGGTTCAGACCCTGCCCCATCCTCACTGACCTGCAATCTTGTACAAGCAACTTAATCTCCCCGAACTACATGGAATTCAGCCATAAAATAAGGCCACCACCTAACTTATGGATTCGTTAACAGGATTAAATGAAATGTGTGTAAAATATAGTACTTATCACAGACATATGGCCTATGCTCACTAAATAACCACTTTATTGGATGTTAGGAACCAGAAAAGAGGCATAGATAATTAAAGTTTTCAGAATAATGTTAATAATAGACAACTTTAGGGGAAAAACCAGCTTTGGGAAAGGAGATAAATAAGTAGTTTGGTTTTACAGAAGATGAGCTTTGAGCTCCGTGGGGTATTTGGTTATAGCATTTACAACGTACTGTGTTTGTTTTCCTTGCCTTTTTCTCAACGGAATTACACATTTAGAAGTGATGTGAAAGTGGTCAGGAGAACAGAGCAGAGCATCTGGAGACCAAGGACAGAACTGTGAACATTCGCCTATATTTAGGGGGCCAGGAAACAGAAACAGAGAAGGAGACCAAACAAACAAAATTCCCCAGAGAATTAGGAAGAAATTAAGAATGCAGTGTCATAAAACCTTTTCAAGAGGGAAGTGCATTTCAAGATTCAACAGTATATTTCGAGTGCGTATACATTTATGTGCAAGTTAAATAATCCAATTTTATTCTTACAAAAGCTATGAAGAGATTTTTTGTCATTTATTTTTAAAAATCTTTCAAAATTAAGTAAGCATTACTGAAAGAATATCTACTACAATAGTTCCTCAGTGTTTTCTTTGATTAATTGCCCAGGTAGGAAAGACCAACCTACAACCATAACACTGTAGTGGGTACGACTAGGGAAATGCAAACAAAGGGGAGTATGAGAAATGCAGAGGAAGAGGCTTGGTGACTTGAACTTGAAGGAGCAGCGAGGCAACAGCTGGGAGGCAGCGAGCGCAGCCCACAGAGCCAGGCCTCGACGGGGCGGCCGGGAGGCGGCACGGGCAGGAGGCCCTGGTGGGAGAAAGCCCCACGCACGCCCAGGGAGTGAAAGCACACAGGCTGTTGTGAGCAGAGCCCACCAGCCGGTGAGTGTGGAAGGGGCCACAGGGGCGGTCATGGAGCATAGAGTCCACGGACTGCAGGTCAGGTGGTGAGTCATTCACACCTGATTTGCAGGCAACAGAGATCCAAGAAAATAATCTAAATGGCAAGCACCCTAAGTTTGCAGCTGAGAATTATTTTCACATTAATAGATGTTTGACAAAATAGCGAGGAGCCAAGGAACTTAGGGACAAATCATTCGAATTACTATCAATTAAAATCATTTAAAAATGAGTATGTGGTGAGGCACCAGGGTGGCTCAGTCAGTTAAGCGTCTGACTTTGGCTCAGGTCATGATCTAGCGGCTTGTGGGTTCGAGCCTTGCGTCAGGCTCTGTGCTGACAGCCCGGAACCTGGAACTGCTTCCGATTCTGTGTCTCCCTCTCTCTCTGCCCCTCCCCTGCTCACACTCTGTCTCTCTCTCTCAAAAATAAACAACTAAAAAAATTTTTTAAATAAAAATGAGTATTATAATCTGTCGACAGCTTCTCTGAAACATAAATACTTTGTAAATCAAGGAATATATGTGGTAAAATTCGAAAAATAACAGAGTTACTACTATTGATACAAGATGACAGATACCTAAGATATGAGTAAATATTTGTAAATTTTGTCTTAAAATTTGCTAGAGGAGCTTTTCACCTAAGTGTCCACAGTTAGTATTTTAAAAGCAAAAACAAATTTGGTTTCCAAACATGAAAAAGATTAAAATAAAAGCAACAATAACAACTACATCATACACCCAGAAAAACATTCCTATGTTTCTGACTGCTAATTCGCAACCTACAAGATGTTTGGATGTAAACACGTGTATTCCGACTCACGATGGAGACTTACCGTGGGCTTCACCAGCAGCCGCCCCATCACCGTGAACATGCGGGAGAGGCCGACGGGGGTGCACACTGGGGAGAGACCGCGGGCAGAGAGGAGGCAGGTGAGCTGCTAGTCTAAATGTACAGAACAAACTCAAAGATTATTATTTTCAGAAAACTCTCGTCTCCAGCTTTGTCAGCGGACTCTTTAACCGTCAATAAGGAAGCTGGCGGTGCAAGGATGTGGAGGAAGAAAGATACTTGTAAAGACTAAAGGAGGCTTAGGATGTGCAAGACACTAGCCATCGAATAATAATATTTTCACTTAAAAGAAATTAAAGAAAATCAACTAAAGAGCAGATTAAATTTCAAGAGCTAATGAAACTGAGAACCAGATCATCTAAAAGTGACAATTATTATCTCCACCCCTTTTAACTATACTTATCTACGTATAACGTCCCTGAGATAGACTGTAATCCCTGCAAAACTGAATTTGAAATAAGAACCACAAATTCATCACATGGCGTTTCACATCATCCGTCAAAAGTAGAATCTAGGGCTGTCTGGACGGCTCAGTCAGTTGAATGTCCAACTTCAGTTCAGGTCATGATCTCACAATTTGTGGGTTCAAGGCCCGCGTCGGGCTCTGAGCTAACAGCTCAGAGCCTGGAGCTGCTTCCGATTCTGTGTCTCCCTCTCTCTGCCCCTCCCTTCCCTGTGCATGCACGCACGTATATTCTCTCTCTCAAAATTAAATATTAAAAAAAAATTTTTAAGCAGAATCTAATGTTGTAACAGGTGTGCCTGCGTGAGCATGTGCATGTGTATCTCTCTGCAAGAGGAGCTCTCCTTAAAGAACGATACAAGCGTTTTCTTTTAAGGTTTCAGTTTATCAAAACTTATCTTAACATAAAAAAAGGTAAGGGCCAAGTTTTTAAAAATCTCCAAGCTGGGGTGCCTGGGTGGTTCAGTCGGTTAAGCGTCCGATTTTCGCTTAGGTCATGATCTCGCGGTTCATGGGTTCGAGCCCCGCATCAGGCTCTTTGCTGACTGCCAGCTCAGAGCCTGGAGCCTGTTTCAGTCTGTGACTCCCTCTCTCTCTGACCCTCCCCCGCTCACGCTGTCTCTCTCTCTCTCTCCTAGAAATAAATAAAAACATTAAAAAAAAAATCTCCAAGCTGTTAAGTAATCTCATTAGGAAATCTTACTATTTTCCCAAATACAGGCCGCCACTTTCTCATCAACCATTAGGTTGGAAAAATACTTACAGAGAAGTAACAGACATCCCATCAAAGATATACAGGAATATAAATAGGGTAGGTAGAACTCCCAGAGATCTAAAAAGAAACACACATATATTTTAGTAAATCCAAAATACTGTACATTAAGGTATAGGTTGACTATAAACTAATGTATGGTAAACATCATAATTGCCTATGTGATAATTTCTAAACTGTACAATAAAAAAGATCTAAAAAAGAAGAAAAGGAAGTAACTCTTGCAAAACCTGTTTGAAGGGAGAAAAAAGAAGCCTCCCAAGAATTTTAAGAACAGAAACCAATTAACAAACAACAAAAAAAAGCTGCTTGCTCGTTCTGAATACAGCAAACACGTGAATCCTCTTCTCTTAAACCTGTCGCAAGGCTTGGTTCTGGAACAACAAGGATAACTCTCCAAAGAATTGTTACAACGTTTAGAAAGCAGGGGCGCCTGGGCTGCTCAGTCGGTAAAGCATCTGACTTCGGCTCAGGTCATGATCTCACGGTTCCTGGGTTCAGACCCCGTGTTGGGCTCTGTGCTGACAGCTCAGAGCCTGGAGCCTGTTTTGGATTCTGTATCTCCCTCTCTCTCTGAGCCTCCCTTGCTCACTCGCTCTCTCTCAGAAATAAAAATTTAAAGAAAAAAAGAAAAAAGAAAAAAAGAAAGCAAATGTGTAAGTATATCCCACCCTGCAGTCCCCCACCCCCCAAGGGAAGCCGGCTCACCATACAGTGACTCCATGCTGGCCGCGTCGTTGTCTATAAGGGCAGAGGCCACCCACACTATCCCCAGAATCAGCAACGCCAGGAGGATGAGCATGACCAGAGTCTCTAAGATTCGGGCTCGGATTCCCTGAAAATACAACGGAGATATAATTGTAGCATTTTATTTCATCTCATGAATAATTAGGCTTCTATCTACATGAAAGCACAAAAATCCTTTGGAAGGAGAGGAAATTTATATTTATTAGCAAGACCAAACCCACTAACTGTAAGATTTGTAATGTTTAGACCGACGTTTCTTTACAAAATTATGTGACATACAATTAAGCTTTGAAGAAAGAACCAAAAATTTTCTTCCTAAAAACATTTTGCAGAACCACTTTTTAAAATGCAGTTGAAGGAACTTTTACCTGTGACGCTAATCAAGGCTGTTGAGGCGGAGAGCAGGCGGGTCAGAAGCACAGAGCACCCAGTTTGGGAGCGCCGCCGGCTCCGCGGCTCCCACAGCCCCCAGGCGCCCCCTGGTGTGCGGCCCGAGCACTGCCGTGGGAAGTACACTGACCTCAATGCAGGTCATTTGCTTCTTCACGCCAGATAAAATGTCATCACTTCACGCAGCTTGCATTTAATGTGGCATCTTTGTGCGCAATTTTGTTTTTATAATAAAGTACAATTTATGCACAACTTTGTTTTAAATGTACAACAAATTCTGTCCTCAGGGCCAAACCAGAGGCCAGGTTCTAAACTTGAAACCTACTGGAAAAGGCAAACAAATGAACAAAAAACAAGTTTCTCATATTCTGGAAAAGTCACCAAGTGATTGAATCCGTACCTAAATTAAAAAATGCATAGTGATGTTTTTATACTGTAAGGCACTGATGTACGTCTACGACAACAAACAAAATTATAAGTAAACCCACGTCTCTCAATAAATCCTGTAATCTTTCCTTCCACGTTAAAAATAGTTGAAAGAAAAAAAATACTTTAAAGACGTGTTACAAAGATCTAAAACACACACTGACTTCAATTTCAGCCTGATATTATTTGCTGCTTTCGGAATTTAAGGGATAAGGTGCGCTTCAGTCACAGCGCTGGGTGCTCAGATGCAACAGAGGACCAGGAAGCCCTGGAACCCCGAAGTGCCTACCCCCGGCCCGCCATGATGACCCGAACTCGAAGGGTCCTGTCTTTACCAGTCCAGTCCTACAAAAGGGCCACCCCGGGCAGTTAAGCAATGTACTCAAATGTGGAGTCCGCACATCTTAAGTGTTCACAGCAAGGGAGGCCAGTGAACCAGAATGAATGATGCCTGTGTCTTATTTAACACATCAGATCTAACAGTAGCTCCTACCCGAGTGAGAAGAAACACGAACAGTCCCCAAAAACACTCTGAAAAACACACCCCTACCTTCCTGAAGAACTCTCCAGACCTGCACTTGAAAACTTTCAAACCAATCAGGCGCCTTGGTGGCTCAGTCGCTTAAGTGTCTGACTTCAGCTCAGGTCATGATCTCACGGTTCATGGGTTCAAGCCCTGTGTCAGGCTCTGCGCTGACTGCCAGCTCAGAGCCTGGAGCCTGCTTCAGATTCTGTATCTCGCTCTCTCTCTCTGACCGTCCCCTGCTCATACTCTCTCTCTCTCTCAGAAATAAAACATTAAAAAAAAAAAAAAAAACTTTCAAACCACTTAGGATACCAAAACATGACCACCTTCCGTTAACAGTGATTTCTTTTTCTCCCCTTCTCTCTTTCTAAGCCATGGTCTTTTTTTCTAAGCAAGAATCTTTTTATTACATATCAAATATTATTTGGAAAGCTTATAAATAAAACAGTTAAAAAGAATCAGTACTCTAATGTGTATCTCTTCCTGACTCTGACGGGAGCCCAAATCCTGCCTGGCTCTGACCAGCCCTTAGAAGTAGTAGGTCTCCCAAAACACAGAACATGTGTCTTAAGGGTTATGACATATAAGCTAAACATTGTAACAGTGTTAGAACTAAACAGTAGTGGTCCTTGGAAGCATCTGAGACCCAATGTCCAAACAAAAGTGTTTTAATAATATGTGTGATAATTATTAAACAATTGTAAAAATGTAACAATAACTATGATATAGAACTATTAATGATGATAATAAATGTTGGGGAAAAAACAACCAGAAGATTTACACACTTCCGCTGACATTTTGGTAAGACATAGGGGTGCCTGGGTGGCTCAGTCGGTTAAGCGCCAGACTCTTGATTTCGGCTCAGGTCATGATCTCAGGGCCCATGGGTTCAAGCCCCGCATCGGGCTCTGTGCTGACAGCACAAAGCCTACTTGGGATTCTCTCCCTCTCTTTCTGCCTCTCTCTGTGTGTCTCAAAATAAATAAACTTAACTTAAAAAAAGAAATATTTCTTGGCAGCTAAATGTGTTTTTCTTCAAATATGTTACTCTGTGTGGGAAGCCAATGCTCCACGGGTGTCTCCCATTCCTGTGCATCTCACAAACACAGGCAAGGATAGACGCCCTTGTTCTGGACTGTCTTTTGAAGGATTTCTGGATAGCAAACAGCCTTGAAAAATAGAGACAGTGTCTCTCTGAAGCAGAAGTATGTCTGTTTCCTGTCTAGTATGACAAAGATAATGTCCCTAGTACAGAGCAAAGGGCAGGCAGGTTTGCCTGCATCCCATTTGTGGGTTCCTTCAAGTTCAAGGGTCCTCGCTGTGACCTGAACCCTGTAGAAGCAGCCTCTGCCCGAGCCGCACTGGCCCCATAAGGCTGGCAGGAGGGTGGAGTTGTCCTGGAACAGGAAGCTGATGGCTGGCCTTGTTCTGAGAAATGAAGTCGTTTGTCTCTGGTCCAGGAGTCTCATGTCCACAGGCATACAGGAATCCAGATCAACCTGTCAGCTCATAAGTCAGGTCTCAGGCCTCCGCAGTTCTAGCAGATTTGGGTGGCCAGGGTGGGCAGCTAACATGGCTTTCTGAAGAAGAACAAACAAGGGCCCACAAGGTTGGGTTAAGGGCAATGGGAAGGCTCTCAGGACCTAGCAGTGAATGCCCTTACCCACGGAGGAGGCAAGCAGGAGAAGTAAGGGTTCGACAGGAGAAGTCAGGAGCTGCACAGGAGCTCGGTCGTAGCCCTTCTCCCGGGGGGGGGGGGGGGGGGGGGGGGGGGGTTGTTACTGTGTTTGTGTACAAGGCCAGTTGAAAAGGCTATGGTTACAGGAAACTATTTTTCTTGTATATTTTGTGCTTTTCTGTATTTTTCAAATTTCCTAGAGTGAATGTGCATGACTTTAAGTAATATAAGAACAAATTAATCTTAATTTTTTTCTTGAAAGAATTAACTTCCGAGAGATTGGCAAAATAACTTTTAAAATACCCAAGTTCCATTTATGAGACATCATAGTGAGCTAGTTCAGGACCCTAACTCTAGCAGCAGGCTGCTTACGTTCAAAGCCTGGTCCCATCACTGACCAACTATGTAACACGGGGCACATTTCTAAACTTTCTGTGCCTCAGTTTATTCCTTTCTAAAAGGGGCTTATTAATAACACCCCTACCGCAGGAGGTCATTAAAAGGATCCAGTGAATTGACATAAGTAACATGTTCAACATTGGGTTGGATGCTTAGGAAGCACAATATAAGAGTCAACTGTAATGACTCAAACTATTGCCTTTGCCTTTAAAATTTCCAAGGCTGTGGAGTTCACCTATCATCTGTGTTTCTGAATTAAATCTGTATCACCTTCTAATGCCAGCTTACCAGCTTCTTCCCATCTCTGTCACCTACCACCCACAGACCTATAAGAAACATTCCAGCCTTTCTCGATGATGTGAGCACCAGGTTCCCAAGCGCGTACCACATGCCCCGCCATCGTGAGCAACATACAAGCTCCTAACGAACTGAGCCTTCATTCTTCATACCACAGCCCCCTCCGGGCACTGGCCTGACTCCCTCGTCTCTCAGACGCACCTCTAAGCTCTCAGATCGGGAGACTGCTCCATGCTTCTCTCTGACACATCCGGTCCTCTAACCCAGCACTGCGTCTTCATCATGATGCCCTGCACCCCTCGATCCACCCAACTCCTCCAATCCGTGTTGTTTTCACTATGTTAAACTGTGTACTTTAATGATAATCCAGTACCAACAACATCCTGATATTCCTGGTCCCTTTGATTTCCACGAGACCAGCTGAATTCCACTGGCAGCTCATTCCTTGAATTCTCAGTGCTGTGAACGGAATTTACAAAATCACGAGAGAAACGTGCGCTACCACATTCCAGAGTGGGCCTGTGCTGTCACCTGGCGCTACTCACGCTGGTCTCTGGCTAACAATTCCCTCAGTGATTTTCTAAATGTTTTCCATTGTCCTTGATCCTAACTCATCCCCCCCTTTCCTGCAAACCGCAGCTGCCCTTCTCTGCTCCTCAGCAGCTCCCAGCTGGGCAGCCCGCACGTGCCCCTGGGGCCTCCGTCTCCGTTCTTATTTCTTTCATTCTACAAAGGAAAATGGCTGAGGCTTAGATGTCCCGCCCTTCCCATGCGGGGTCGGCGCTTCTCAAACTTTTGTCAGAATTACAAGGGGCTTGCCAATCCCTGACCAGCAGCCCAAAGGCATGTCGGTCAGTTTTGATGAAGACACCGCGCAGGCTGCTCTGATCCCCCCCTAGGTGACCTGCCCTCCTCACGTGGCCAGCGACCCCGAGGTTTCTGTCTTTAGTACAAATCTGTCCACTGAGACCAAGAGCCACGCATCCCAGCTGCCACCTCCCCTCAGGTATCTCACTAGTCCTAAACCTAATTCTAAAGTCAGACTCATCATTTTGTCCCCTAAACCTGCTCCTTCGGTGTCACACGCGGCAATAAATGGTACCAATACCCACTGTGTCGGTTTTTTCCAGACGCTGGGAACATCCTTATCACCTCCCTTCGTGCTGCGCCCTCTGACACACACACACCTTGGACCTCGATCTGTTCAACCAAGTGCCTCTGATTCTACTGTGTCATCACAACTAAATCCATCCACTTCTCCCGCCACCACATCCAACCGCCTTCCTCCTGGGGGTCCAACAGCCAACTCTGGTCTCTCTCTGCCTGCCCTGCTGCTGACACTGCCGTGGCAGCGCGCTCACTGCGCAACACG